AAAAAAAAAAAAAAAAAGAATAAAATGAGAGAAAGAAAAATGGTAACACAAGTACATGATCTTTGAACAGTTAGAAATCTGCTAACTAAATTGGAGTTCCACTCATAAATTAAAAGTTATACAAAAAGAATAAAAGAGATGAATTTAACTATTGTCATCAATGACAGGAAAACAAAGTTGAATTTTTTGTGAGTTCATATCATCTCATAATTGATAGAAACAGCCCATGTTAAATAAGTTTTATTAATAGTAGAGAAAAACACATAGGAAACTTAGTTTTTAAAAAGATAGTCTTATTTTTGCTTTTAACAATGTAAAAATATTAAAATTTAAATTATATCTTTCTTAATCATAGGATTTCATAAGTAAGCAAATATACAGAAGCTTAATTTCTAACTTAAAATGTGATTAATGTCTAGTAAAATCAAGCTAAAAATAGTTTTTTTAATGTCCATCAAAGAAGATGACTTTTTTTATTCTTGACTTTGACCCCATGTGACCAGTCGCTCCTAATTTTTCAATATGAGCCACACTGTATAGTATTTACAAGAAAAAGAATGCAAATTAGCCTGGTGAGCAGCAAAATACAGGGAGTTTTTATGAAATCTGATTTGTGTTAATCTATAGTCAAATGTAATTCCATTTTAACATTTATACATTCTTATATTATTATGAGCCTATCCTTAACATGGGTTTTATTTATTTCCCTCCTCCCTCACTTCTGTGAAATGCAGAAGGGAAAGGATGTTTCTTATTCACACATTTGTACCCCAGTAACTGGTGTTATACATCTGGCTTCCACTGGAGAGCCCCTGACATCGCAGGGAACGGTGATCAAAATTCCACACACTAGCTTCAAGCTGGGGGCTCGTAGCTACTGCAGCATTGAAAGGGGATATTTTCCTGGCTTCTTTAAACTAAGCATGGTGATGGGATGGTTTAAGGGAAGAACACCTCTCAAATCACATGACCACTGCTGCGCTTCTGTGTGTCCTGCTTTCTTCATAACAGCTTGGCACTACATTCTGTCCCTGTATCTTAGTGGGCCTGTGTATGTATGAGGGGGGTGAGGGGTGGGAGATAAATGGATACTTATCCATTGTGCATGTGTCTTTCACTCACTGTTAGAGTGATGTGCCTTCCCTTCTATGTCACAAATTATGGTCACAGAATGAATCTTCTGTGTCCTGAGAGATTGGGCCAACTCTCTCTTCTTGGTGTGAGAGTCATGTGTTTTGGTGTGTTTCAATGTTTACACCCTCAAATGTTCTTCATGTTGCATTAAACTGAGTTGAAATGTTTTCCCATAAGAGTTAGCTTTTCATGTTGGGCTGAAAAAGTCTTCATTTCTGTGTAGCAATTCATGTTATTATAACCTATGGCTTTCAATTGTACCTCCCATAATGAAGAGCTGACTTTAAACACTGTGCTATTCTTGTTATGACTAAGCATAAGGTAAGTGATTTCTCTAACCATATCTAAAGATTGTGTTTGTTAAAATTTTCTCAGCTTTTTTTAAGGCATTTCCACTTTTGTTCCTTACCATTTATTATGTGCTATCCTTCCGTTCTGTTTTTTATCTTAAGATTTCTCAATGAACAATGTGATCTTCAGCAAAAATTATACTACGCCTGTAAACACATGTGGAAATGAATTATTTGATGTCACAAAGCAGTCTTGATTAGTAAATGAATCCCTATGTTTTCAATAAATCCCTTGTGTTTTTTATTTCTTCCATTGACTTTAATATAATATACTGTTTCTACATGTTTTTTCAGTTTTTATTCTAGTTGTCAATACCATAAAATCAAATATTAATTGTAGTAAAAGAACATGATGGAATAGTAGGTAATTTGATACTATGCCCTTCATTTTTAATTCTTGACAAATTTGTATTAGCCTAAAATCTCAGTTTTTGGTTTCTTTATTTGTTTTGAGACAGGGTCTTGCTCTCTTACCCTGGCTAGAGTGCAGTGGCATCATCATACCTTGTTGCAACCTCAGACTCCTGGCTGAGCTCAAGATATCCTCCTGCCTTAGCCTCCCAAGTAGCTGGAACTATAGGCATGTGCCACCACTCCCAGCTAATTTTTCTTCTTTTTTTTTTAATTTAAACTTTATTCACCAGCTAATTTTTCTATTTTGTATAGAAACAGGGTCTCACTCTTGCTTAGGCTGGTCCTAAACTCCTGGCCTCATGTAGTCCTCCTTGCCTCTGCTCCCAAAGTGGTAGGATTACTGGTGTGAGCCACTGTACCAAACTTCAAAATCTCAGTTCTATTTTTATTTTCCATATTTTCCTTTTTTTCTCAGTGAGTAAAGCCAGTGTAAAATAAGGGGAAAAACAACAAACAATGAAAGTTGAGACAGAGCTGTGTTACCATCTTTATGGTCCATATGTATGAGAATATAGTTGTTTGTCATTAGAACTTTATATTAAGATTTTATTAAATTAAGTAAAAGTATGAAGATGACCAGTTCACAGTGCAAGAAAGAGGGTCATTTACCACATGCATAAATCGTAAAGTTTTTTTAAATTTATTTTCCTCAGTGGTTTTTTATACATATGTTCAATATCATTAAATTAAAAAAGAAATGCTTATAATCATCGATTTTAGAAGTGATTTTCCCCAGATCTGGCTCAAAAAGCCAATGTAATGGAAATGAAAAAACATCGATTATATAACTGTAAGCAATTTGTTAACCTTGATAAGTGTTTAAGTTCAGGGAATTGACTTGTTTTCATCCAAATTTCTCCTCCTAAGCTTTTTGAAATATCTAGTTCTAAACTGAGGTGCCACAAAGCAGCACTGGGTTTGTTGGGTTTTTTTATTATTCAATTCATGTTATGAATGATTTTTTGTTGTTGTTAATTTTTAAGCCACCTAGGGAAGGGGAGTGGGTATTTTGTTGGTTTGGTTTAGGCTTGGATTTTTGTTTTGGGGGTTTGTTTTTCTGGGGCCTGCTAGTCCTTCACCAGCATTTCCATTATATACATTATATGATGTATATAATAGATATTATATAAATCTTATGGAACATTTTATGAGACAATTTGAATTACTCATCTGAACTGCTCTGTTCATTGTAAATCTCTTGTTTCTATCCATACACTAGCTCCACTCTAGATTGGAAGGGCTTAAAGATGAACTCTGGAGGAATAGAGGCTACGACTTAAGAGTAACTATTACTGATCAAAGGAGCTACTTTCCATTCGCAAACATTGCTTTGCGCTATGGGTTTGGGCTCCTTCTGTTTTTACATCTTGTCGAAGACTTTCTTAACTTCCATTTGACTTCTATAAACTGTTTTTTGTCTTTTAACATTTCCTCCTTTCTTTTCTTTCTCTCCCAGAGTTTTCTCTCACTCTTTTAGCTTTCTCTTGTGTTCCTTGAATCACTTTTTACAAAGTAGTTTCTCTCTTTATTAAGCTTGTCTATTAATTTGTCTATTAGTCTGTGTTTCTTTTCTTCTATAAGGCTATAGTGGTGTACTTACTTATTTTCATTCCATAGTATGCCAACTTGCTTATTTATTTTGCAGCAAGTTCATTGGTCATTCTTACCCTCTTGGTATGAATTTTCAATAGAAATAGCAGATCATTCTGCATTTACACATTGTCCCCTTCTATAAGCCCATACTTTCTTTTCTATTGTCTAGATTTACTCCCTTGAACCTCTCTCGCGTCTTTTTCTTTTCATTATTCTCGTGACTTCTTCCCTATATTGTTTTCTTTAATCAGTCATTAATTTCTTTCCCATTTGGTCCAGATTTGTTCTTCAATAAGACTCTTGAGTAAAAGAATATAAGAATACGTTCTTCCAGATTAGCTTCTTCATTCTAGATTCTAGTGCATTGAGAACTAGCTAAACAGTCTGGGCCAAAGGAGAATAACTATAACATTTGGAATTATTTCTCTCTTTTTTTTTTTTTTTTTTTTTGGTGTGTGTGTGCTTTTTTTTTCTTGTGTGTTTGTTTGTGACCTTTTTTTATTGTTGTTTTTATTTAAACATTAACAATTGTTTATTTCAGGGAAGGACAACCATAACCCACCCTAAGTTGCAACATTCTTTTCATAAGTTGTTTCATTATAATAGTAGATTGTGTTTAACTATAGAACTTACTTTGTTGTGTATATCTCCATTTGGGGCAAGCTGCTGGGATATGGGAAGAAGAGGTGTAGAGCTAAAACACAATTTCCTTTGAAATTAACACATAAATGCCATCCAGAAGGGCCCCTGAATGCAATAGTTTTACAATATTTAACAAATGTTTACTCTGACCTAAACTTTTGAATCAAAGCATAAGGATTTCTGACTAATAAATTATATAGATACCTAAGAACTGGTAAATGAATGAATTCAATTTCCTTGATTTTCAACAGAAGCATCTTTCATAATTAATATAACTATAATAAATTATTATTAACATAATAATATAATCAATGAACAACAAAGGATATTAGAATTATGGGTAAATGTTATATGTGAGGATTTCTGTTTTCCCCTCATTAACATATGTATCTTTCAAAAGATTAAAATGGAATACTTGAATACAAGTTTTACTTGAATTTCATTATTATAGTCAAAAAATATCCTAAATGCCTTAGTATTAAGCATTTATATTTACAAGTGAATATACAGCAACTTGAATTTTTTTCTGATTTCAAATACAAATAAATAAAAAATTGCCTTTGGTTTATCTCTGCCCTATTTACAATATGGTACCCCAGTTTTTTTCTGGTTGTCAGTTCTTTCTTTAAAATAAGGGAAGGATGAATAAAAACTATATGAAACAAATGTAACATTTTTTGTGACATGAGATATGTAAAGCCTTTGCTCCTAGACCTCAGGAGCTTGCCCATTAAATTTGCATCTGTGGTATTCCATGTTATGAGCCCTAAATTACTGAGTTTATGCTCTCTCTGCAGGTCCAGTCCAGGTGCAGCAGCAAGGAGAACATTCTCAGAGCCAGTAAGTGTTTTATCATTTTAGGTGGGATACTGAAGTAGAGCTTATGGTTCATCAGAATGTGAAGCTAAAAGTGACATTTTGGTGAAAAAATACAGAAAAGCAGTGGGTAAAGTTTACACCAAGAATATGAATATTAAGGCTTTCATTCTCTAAAAATATTAATTTCAATATATTAAAGAATATTTCCCTTAATCTATTATTTTTCAAGCTGAGAACAAAACTTCAATTCAGTCTTAGCAGGAATGAGCCTTCTCTTTGATTAAGACTCTCTTTAATTACCCCATTGCCTGAAGTATTTAAAAACAGACTAATTGAAAAAATAATAATGTAAATTCATTAAAGGAGGCTAACTTTAAAAAAATGTGATTCCTGAGAGGGTACTATATTTTTGTGACTATAAATTCCTGAGAGGTCTTAACTTCACATACATTTTGTTTTAAAAGATAGAGCCCTGAACCAGGGTAAACAATCCTCAATTTTATTTTTTAGTTTAAGCACTAATAGCCTTAACTTGGAAGTCATTTAATTTTGTGTATTCCTTTTCCTTTTTCTATCTTATAAAAAATAACTATAAAAAGCTTTTTCTCACCTGCATATTTGAAATGATATCATTTTGAAAGTTGTGCCTTAAAAACTTTGGGATCCTAAGAGAAAAGTACTGCATAAATGCTAAGTATTTTATTATTATTCTCTGTAACTTGATAGCCTAATGACATCATCCCATCCTCTTCCTGATCTTTATCAAGAGTAGTAGTACAGGAAAACCATACTGAAACAGGTCTACTGGATACCCACTAGGAGTTTCAGTAAATGGGATGATTTATATTTCCAGTAAAATGTCAGTATTATTTAACAATCAGAAAGTAGTTGAAGAACTTCAAATAGGTAAAAATCCATGGTTTTTTTCTACTGTAAAATTTTCCATTTATTTCTGTGTTATAAATTTGTTATCTTAGCTCAAAACCCTCAGACAAGCATACTGCAACTATTTGGCCAAGACCATTGTATTAGAATTATATTTTTTAAAAAATGTAAACAGACATGGTTATATTACAAATTTCCATAACCTTCAATAGACATGTGAATCTGAGGGGGGCTCTTCAGTAGTAAGAGATGTAAATTCCTATAATACCTTACCAGGGACCTAAAGTCAAGAAACCTAAGGGTTAGTGGAGAGATGATTGAATGTTCACTGAAATAAAACAATAGAGATAAGTGAACTTGAAAATGATATTTTATGATGTAGTTCCCATTTATTGTTAATCCTGAAATGATGATAAGTCACTGATAGTGATATGGTGATTAGGAACAAAAATCATTTCTCATTGAGAACAGTTCCCTTTGAACCTTCTTTCACATCTATCATGGATCTTTGTGCACAATATTAGAACTGTCTTTCATTTCAGTTGTGTTCTTACTGGCTTGTTAGCTATCATCACTTCATAATGGCTCAAGTTTTTCTGATCATGTTTTCTTAGGATAAAATAATCATGTAGATGGTCCTTATAACCTGATAACCCATCCAACATCACAGCCTCATAGTTCTGTGACTTTTATGTTTATGGTCTTTCCTCTCAATACCACTTTGATAAACTCATACTCCTGCCCATAGCCATACCCAGGACCCTTTCATCACCTTCAGCTTTCAATATATTAAGTTTTTGAGCTGTTCTACCTTTGAACTTCTTAACTTCAGTACCCCATTGCTTATTTAGACTATTTTTGTCTTCCTTTGCTGTGTACTACCATACTACAATCATACAGAACCTATTAGCGCTTCTCCATTCTCTCAATGCTACATCTTTCCTCTATTCCTTTGAACCTTTTCTCCTTGCATAAACTATTCATTCCATTGTTTTCCTGGAGAACTTTTACTTATCCTTCAAGACTCAATTCAAATATGATTCCTCTGAGTTCCCCCCACTCAAGGTGATTAATCCTTCTTGAATACCCCTACTATTCCATTTGCTTTACTCATTTTTTTACTTATTTACTAATTATTTACTAATAACTTCCCTCGAGGAATATATTTCCAAAATGCAGCCAACATAAAAAAATCTAAAATCAACTTCTTTTTAAATATAAACATATATTTAAACATATAAATTTACACACATACATATATATATATATATAGTATGTGTGTATATTTGTCAGCACAGAAGATCAGTGGATCCTAGAGAAGGGACAAATGTTAGAATGTAATGGAGCTTATCTAGAATTGAGTTACCCTTTTGTCAAATTCAGAGGTAACTTTTCTTTTTTTTTTTTTTTCCTACAGTTTTTGGCCAGGGCTGGGTTTGAACCCACCACCTCCAGCATATGGGGCTGGCGCCCTACCCTTTTGAGCCACAGGCGCCTCCCAGGTGTAACTTTTCTTTAGCTCCTTAAAATATTATCAAAATAACCATTGACAACAAAGGATATTATCGTAAAAAAGAGTACAACTTTAACAACATCTTACTCTCAGACTCAAAGTCTCAGAAATGCAAGGGCAAAGTCAAGATATTTATGAGATTTTGAAGTTTGGTTTAAAGCAGATCTTTTTAATGTGGGGCTTGACTAGAATTGGATAAGAATCCTGGTATAATCCTTTCAGATTGATATACAAAGCAAGGCAAGGGGTTCTGAGCACCTTGGTATGTAAACTATCTTTTGATACTTTCTTTTCAGAGTTGATGGCTCTTTCCAGAAGCTTCTAGAATGAACAATAAGATTAGTTACAATCATTATCTTTAAGGAAAAATGTTTTATAGAATAGTATTGACAAAGTGTACTGACAAAAGACAATGGAATAATAATGTTAAGCTAATGAAGATAATAAACTGTGTAATTATAGATGGTTTCACATACCAGGGTTTTTCTTGGTAGTCATTCTTTACTCTGAGCTGAAAGATAAGCCATTAGCATTTGGGAGTGTGATTAGTCCATACCATCACCTCCAATTGGGATATCTCACAGTAGTATATTGAGTATCTGGGGGAAGTTGTGAAAGTATTATTTTCCTATTCTATTGTATTAGAAACATCTGCACCATGCTACACAAATATGTAAAGAATTATCCTCTGAGTTTATGATCCGTTTCTTAGCCAGAAGCCAAGATTATCCAAATTAAGCCAAGAGAATAGATCTCATCCCCAATCTCAACAGATAGAGAGTTCTAGTCAATGTACTTAATTTTATGAAGCCAGGTATAGTGGCTTACACCTGTAATCCTAGCACTTTGGGAGGCCAAGGCAGGAGGGTTACTTGAAGCCAGGAGTTTGAGAGCAGGGCAGCATAGAATCTCTGAGAGTTTTACTAATTTGATTTTTAGAATTATGTTTGTTCTACCTTGCCTGATGATTGGGGATGATATGGACAATGAAATTTCTTACTAAGTAGCAAAGATTTGCAAAACTGTTTAGAAATAGGCCAAATAAAACAAGAGTCTCAATCATCAGAGAGAGACATCAGAATTCTCCAGGTTGCAAACACAAAATAAAGCAATTTTTGTCACTGTTAGAATTGTTCTCTGTCAAGGAAAGGATTTAGTTCATCCCAAGAGTAAACAATGGCCGAGAAATACTCTGGTCTAAACCCACTTTAAAGAACAGTTTTGTTACATCCAGTTTAAAGATATTCCCTGGGGGCCCTGAGGTTTAGGTTTTTGGCCCTGTCCCACCTTTGTAATTTGACCAGGATTGTGTTGGTGACAGATGAGACATAGTAAAGCTTTCCTAGCAATATTAATTATGTACAGTAGAAAATCTGTTTTTGTAGTTGTCCTGATCCATTCATGCTGCTATGCAAATTTCTGGAGGATGCTCCAGCAGGTTCACTATCTGGTGAGGACTTGGTCTTTTTTTTTTTTTTTTTTGAGACAGAGCCTCAAGCTATTGCCCTGGGTAGAGTGCCGTGGCCTCACAGGTCACAGCAACCTCCAATTCCTAGGCTTAAGCGATTCTCTTGCCTCAGCCTCCCAAGTAGCTGGGACTACAGGCACCCACCACGACGCCCAGCTATTTTTCAGTTGTAGTTGTCATTGTTGTTTGGCAGGCCACAGTCTGGATTCAAACCCGCCAGCTATGGTGTATGTGGCTGGCGCCCTAGCTGCTTGAGCTATAGGAGCTGAGCCAGGACCTGGTCTTTGTAAGATATCATCTTGAACATGCCTTCCTTCAGAGTTGGATACTGGGCTCTGCACCTGTGGCTCAAGTGGCTAAGGCGCCAGCCACAGACACCTAAGGTGGCGGGTTCAAATCCAACCTGGGCCCGCCAAACAACAATGACGGCTGCAACCAAAAAATAGCCCGGCGTTGTGGCGGGCACCTGTGGTCCCAGCTACTTGGGAGGTGGAGGCAGGAGACTTGCTTGGCCCAAGAGTTGGAGGTTGCTGTGAGCTGTGATGCTATGGCACTCTACCCGGGGGGACAGCTGGAGGCTCTGTCTCAAAAAAAAAAAAAAAAACAGAGTTGGATACTGTGTCCTCAGGTTGTAGAAGGGGTATACCCAGAGTAGGAAGTTATTGAAGAACTAATTTTGACTCATGGAGGGTCTGTTCATGTTTGGTGCCCAGGAAAGAGGTTCAGTTTCTAAGTACTTGGTTTAGTCATATAGTGGCATGGCAGTTTCAGAAAAGTTGGGAATGCATTGCCCCCATTGCCTCCAATAGTCGATGAGAGCTAGGAATCCTCTTAATTAGATTCCAGATGGGTTTAGAAGAATTTAAGAGACTTTTTCTTTTTTTTCTTTCTTTCTTTTTTTTTTTTAAACAGTTTTATTTTCTCTTGACCAAGGAATTTCTTAGGGAAGTACTTTTGGAACCTGAATTTCTTGGGGATATTTCTTCATACCAATCTGTTTCCTTTTTGTTCTAAGGCACCCCTCAAATAAATAATTTTGTTCATATCAAAAGTTCCTCAGGGTGACCACTTTAATTCTTCCTTAGCCAACAAAGGAATTTTCAAATCAAGAGTCTACTGCAGTAGTAGAAAGGAGGTCTCAGTCTTGAGTAGGTC